TAGAAAATAAATAGATAGCCGAGGAAATGGCTTGTGGGCTTTTGGTTTATTTATGACGGACGCAGGGCTCCTTCTGCATGCATGGATTCCCAGCTTTCATTAAGTGTCATTACTGGAGCTCTTAGGACAGGTGTGGCCTTACAAATCTGCAGAGACCTGACATACAGCCCAAAGCCAGCCAACATGTGCTGTGTATGCACAGACCGAAGATGGGCTTGATTCTTTGGATGCCTGTAAATACACAACAGTATCCCTGCTTGATTTGTTGTGATAAATAACTTATAATAGCCCGAGTCGCTCCATCAGAAGAGACCGGCGGTGTTGTGGAAGAGGGTCATGTTTAATGGCAGGCCTTGATCACGACCACGGGGAGGGATGTTTATCACAGAGCTTTTTCACTAATGCATACATTTCTTTTTTTCCATGAGAAATAAAACAGAGATGCTTTTACAAGACATGTTCAACCTCCCCCCCCCTACCCAAACCTTGCTATTCATTAGCAATTTCCAGTTTCCAGTTCACTTCTTGCAGCGTTCCCTGATTGATGGAAAGCCTGCCATGTTTATTTGGATATCAGGGAATGAAATATTCATATTGTACGCTTTTCCAAGCAGAAGTTATCTGGGTGCAACGTAAATGGTACTTGGGATTAGATTTTCACAGCAGATTGCAGTTATTAAAGAAAAAAAAAAAGGAGAAGGGGGGTGTACAGGGAAGCTGCCATCTTCTGGGGAGGCAATCTATTTCTTTTCACGCAGTCTTGGAGCGCCTGCATAGCCTCTTAATGCACTGGAGCAAAAGTGCTTTGGTCCGCAACCTTTCACGCCTTCCTCTCCCTTTTATATGATTGAATACTTAATAACTTTGACTTTGCTTTGAAAGCCTGCGCCATGGGGCCTGTTGGGTTGCCTCGTGGCGAAGCCGACGTACCTGAGTGTTTGTCTGCCGCTAACTGCCCTTATTACTGACTGTCTGTCTGTCAGGCACAGCTCATCCGCTGTCATCTTTATCTTAATAGCAGGCTGACTTTTGGCTGTTTTCACATGGAAGCTGCTTTTTTGGGGTCTTTTATAATTGTTGCTTGTCACATTGCACAACGTGAGATCTTTGGTAAGAGCCTAGGCAGACTGGGTGACATCAACTGTGCAATATTTGGTCACAACGGACAGCATTTAATGAGCGTTCAGTCACGTCGCGTCCACATTGACATGCAAAATAGAAATTGAAGCACTTCAAGGATTGTCATTGCTGCAATAGGGGAGTCTAAAGAGCGTTTACACAACACCATTTCAATTAATAGTAGGAAATCTATTATTTTGGCCATTTAGTTGCCTGAAAGGTGCCTATGGTGCCCGTTTCCACCCAGCTATCTTTATGCGCATTTGGAATATTTTATTAACAAAAATGCCTACTGGAAAAGCCAAGATGGGCATAAATTTTGAAATTGCGCATAACAAAACGTATTTGCAGTAGGTACTCATAACTGAGTAGGATTAACTTTTTATTTGAAAAAAACAAATGTGTATGTGGCATGGTGGCTTAGTGGTTAGCACTTTCACCTCACAGCAAGAAGGTCGCTGGTTTGAGTCCCGACTGGGTCAGTTGGCATTTCTATGTGGAGTTTGCATGTTCTCCCCATGTTGGTGTAAGTTTCCTCTGGTTTCCTTTATGCTGTGCTAACACTAGACACACACACGGATAAATCATGCTATTTGTGCGTGAATAGACAAATGAACATTTTAAGTTTACTTCATTCGTGTGTCAAATTCACTTCACACTACACACGGACTTGCGTGATGGGCAGGGCTTGTCTGCCCGGTGACTCTATCTTCATTGCTAAATGGCTAACATGGATTTTATTTTGAGAATAGCCGTGTTTATGTGCTTTAGGAAGACTGAAAAACACCGCTGATTCAATTGGAGCCGTGTCTGAGTCCACTAGATTCATTCTGAGGGCCCCCCAGCTCTGTGAGTTCATAAACTCTTCCAGAAACTTAACCTGGATGATGAAAGCTTTCAGCTGTGCTTCCGACTGAGCTGAGCCCAGTTCGATAAACTGTTGTGCGGTGTCTGCAGGAGGATTCAGCAACAACAGGTGCTACATTATAATCACGCCCCTACAAGAAAAAGCTCCTGATTGGTTAACGCGGCGCGAATGTCTACAGAAGTTCAGTTCGCGCTGCCTCATTTGCACATATTGCGCCGTATGATGTCTATTCACTGCATTGACTTAACATGTAAATCACTTGCGCTTGATGCTTTTTCCGCGTTTGATGTGAACGCAGCATTACATTCCAGAGCCATGCGGCATAGGTGAATTGGATAAACGAAATTTGCCGTAGTGAATGAGTGTGTGTGTGAGAATGCGAAAGTGAATGAGTGTTTCCCAGTACTGGGAAAGGGTTGTAAGGGTATCCACTGCGTAAAACCTATGCCATAGTTGGCGATTCACTCTGCTGTGGTGAACCCTGATAATCAGGGACTAAAGGCTGATTTATTCTTCTGCAGCAACCGCACATGTATGGTCCGGCGCAGCCTTCATGCGGTCGCATAATCATCGCCTTCACTGGCACTGACGCACACTTCTTCAAAATTGTAACCACACATTGCAACGACGCGTAGCGCAAGCTCTGCGACTGGTTGGCTTGGTAGCTGTGACAAGTGTGGGTGGTGCTAAAAGCCACGAGCGCGATGGAGCAATTGTTTACAAGTGCCGAGTCTCGTGGAGGAGATTTAGATGGAAACTTCTGTTTTGTGTTTACCTTATGATTAAATTTCTTTCATGTCTGCTGGTTGCTGCCTCAGAATGAGCAAGTTTTAACTACTTGTGCATTAAGGTAGCATTCAAAAACAAACAAAACAAAAAAAACACCCGACAACCGACATAGAGGAACATAAAAATTCACTGCAAGCTAGCGTTTGAGAAGTGTTATTGCAGAGCAACACAAACAGCATGCAGATGCACGACTACAAGCAAGACAGGCACCGATCACTCGACACAGAAAGAGAACTCGGCAGCTGTTTAGATCCAAATGAACCAAAATCTGATGTCAAAGGGACTTGAGTTTGCATCCAAAGCTGTGGTGTAAAAGTGTCCTTAATGAAGTGATATCTACACCACAATAAGTGCCATAGTTGTAGGCTTTTTAATTCAGTCTGTAACGATTTCTCTCTAGTAATTTCTGGCTCACACTGACTTCAAATGCACAATACACCACTAGTATTAGTGGTTCGCTTCCATAACATGGGACAGATCGTGTTCCTATCATTTTTGAACCAAACTGAATTTAGATAAATTGCACCTCGAAATCCCTTTAAAGAGAACTCGGCTGCAGTTTATATCCAAATCTGACGTCAAATAAACTCGAGTTTGCACGTAAACCTGTAGTGCAAGTGTCCTAAATTAAGCCACCCTAAGTGCCATAGTTTCAGGCTTTTTTGATTCAGTCTCTCTCTAGCAACTTCCGGTTTACTCTGACTTCCAATGCACAATACAGCACAATAGTATTAATGGATCAATTCTATAATGTGGGACAGATTGTGTTCCAACCATCTTTGAACCATAAACTGAGTTAAATAAATTGCACCCCAGAAAACCCTTTGAAGAGAAGTCGGCAGCTGTTTAGATCGAAATCTGTCGTCAAATGGACTTGGGTTTTCACTTAAAGCTGTGGTGGAAAAGTGTCCTAAATGAAGCCACCCTAAGTGCCGTAGTTTCAGGCTTTTTTTAAATTCAGTCTGTAATAGTCTCTTTCTAGCAACTTCTGGTTCACTCTGACTTCAAATGTACAATACAGCACTAGCATTAATGGTTCACTTCCATAACGTAGGACTGACAGTGTTCCTACCATCTTTGAACCATAAACTTAGTTTAAATAAATTACACCACCGAAAACCCTTTGAAGGGAACTCGGATCTAAATGAACCCAAATCTGACGTCAAATGGACTCGAGTTTGCACCCAAAGCTGTGGTGTGAAAGTGTCCTTAATGAAGCGCTACCTACACCACCATAAGTGCCGTAGTTGTAGGCTTTATTTTATTCAGTCTGTAGCTGTCTCTCTCCATCCCCCTTCCCCCTGACATACACAGGAGCTCATTAGCACATGGAGAGCTCGCAGCCCTCGCCGAATGTGACCCTGCCTAATTGTGCAGCAGGTTCATTTGCTCGCCCGGCGTGATGTAGTGATTGCTTATTTGTTCTCCTCGGGGCTTCTCTCGCACATTAAAATGATTGACTCATTTCATTCAGGGTACATTTACCGAGCTTTATTTGATAAGCTCATGCCCAAGGTACTCACATCCGTCTTATTCTCGCGCTCAGAAAGTTGTAATGTCTACCGCTGAGGATTATTATTCACACTGCTGATTGTTTCCCCGGCTAATTATCTGTGTGTTTGAATAATTTTGCATGCGCGAGCCTGTTTATCCTCCCGGAATTAAGCGGCGCAAAAGGTCTCGCATTAGCCATGCCGCTGAAGTCACCGACAAGCCCATTGTATATGCTAAGCTGTCCACGGCAGACAGCGAAGAGTTCTGGGAATACGGTGATTTTTCTCTTTAAATAAAGGGTGAAATTTACATGCAGCCACAGAGACACACAGTTTTTAAAAAGGAGACTAATAAGCTGGATTTGTTTTCCACGGCTCGACTAAAAACCTTGATGAACGGTTGAAGAAGGAGAGCGCTCATTATATTTGGAGAACATGGCAGAGATGTTGTCAGCCACCTTTGACCTTTCGTCTTCAATGCATCAGCGGTCAAACTCAAGAATTATGGGAGGAAGCCAAAGCCAGCAAGAGCGAGAGAGAGAGAGATGGTGTTTGAATATGGAAGCTGGTTTACATGGGAGAATGTATTTGCTGATGTACATTAGTGTAATTATGACGAGCGTGTCTGGATGTAACCGTCGTTTAGTTAATTGGAGGAGCCCATTGAATCAGTAATGAGCTTGTTTATGAGGTGGCTGTAAATAACGCTGTATGTTGTCTGCTTCTTACAGTGATGAAGGCAGAGGAAGACGAAGCACTTCCTGTGTGCTTGGATTGACTTGGATGGGAACCATTTTCTGCAAACAAACCGACTCTGGGACCTATTCATGATCACATACTCATTAAGTTATTCATTCATTCATTCATACATTTTCCTTCGATTTCAGAGATCACCACAGCGGAATGAACCGGCAACTATTCCAGCATATGTTTTACACAGCGGATGCCCATTCAGCTGCAACCTAGTACTGGGAAACACTCATTCACACACACTTACAATCTACGGCCAATTTAGTTGATCCAATTCACCCATGGCGCATGTCTTTGGACTGTGGGGCAAACTGGAGCACCTGGAGGAAACCCACGCCAACACAGGGAGCAGCCGAGACTCAAACCAGTGTGTCACACCTCATTGAGTTATTACATTGCTGATAATTGACCTTATGACTCAAATAGCCAATCAAATCATTGCATTGACAGTGTGCATTAAAAACATTTAATAAATCCCCAACATTATGGTCATCAGAATGGTGTAATCCACATTCATTGCACATAAGGGTCCCACTTTATAATGAATGACCGTAATTACTTGGTACTTGCTTCAAATATTTAGTTATTGTGTTCATTTTGTATTATACAACAATTATGGTGCTAGGGGGGGTAGTGTTAATGCTACAAGTAGGTTTAAGGGTGGGCTAAGGTGTAAGGAATGTATTTATTTTGTACGTAAATGGGTCAATTGGGTAAATATAGAAGTTAATTACATGCAGGAATTTTTTTAAATAATATCTATATAGGTGTATTGTACTAAATGATTAATGTAAAACTACAGTTTATTAAGGCCACTTAATATGACGTGGCCGCCAGATGAGTTGTGTTGAATTTAGCGATTTGAAGTATTCAGGAGCTTGCCTGGGAAATGATTACTGCGGGGAAAATAGGTATTGAACATGCCATGTTTTTTGCTGGGAATATCATTCGCAAAGGAGCTGTTGACATGGAATTAAATCCTATTTTGGTAAAACCCAAACAAACAATACACACATAAAACAAAACACAACAAAAAAAATCTGAAAATTTAGTTACGTAATTACAATGGAATGACTCAAGGAGAAAAAGTGAACTACCGAATCGTATTTAAAAGTTTAAATAAAAGGCTTTTTGGTGATGGCAGCTTAAAGACGCCTCTCATATGGAGAATGAAGTCACATGCATTGCTCAGGTGTGATTCTTTCAAAGACTTCAACAGTGTCACACAACCAGCGATCGCTTCCCAGAGGATCGCTGGTTTTTACATGAACTCTCTAAACTACATTTCCGCTTTTCCCAGGACTACACATTCATACATGCACTGCTCCCAAACACACACGTCTGTTCATTCATCTATCCTGATTGCATCACCAGCTGAGCCTTGTTCACAGACTGATTTCATTCCATTCATAAGCCACTCATTCACGCTTCCAGTTTGCCGAGTCTTGTTTTCCTAGTGTAACATTGCAACGCGGTTCCCTGTCTTGTTTCTCCGTGTCTCGATCCTAGCCTTGTACCTTTGTTATCTTGTTTAGCCGCCTGCATTTCGACCTATTGCCTGTTATATTGACGATGATTCTGGACTGCCTTCATATACCCGTTTGCACCTGATTTGACCATTGCTTGCCTGACATTGAATAAACCTGCATATTGGATCTTACCTCCTGTTGTCTCCTGTCACTCCACCCCAGTCGTGGTAACAAACGGTGTAAAAAAAACTGTTCTGTGGGTCTTAAACCTGAGTTTTATTTTGTATTTTCTATTGGATTCAAGTCAGGTGATTAGCTGGGCCATTCTACAGCTTGATTTTCTTTCTCTGAAAGCATTTGAAAGTCTCCTTGACTGTGTTTTGGATTATCGTCTTGCTGAAATGTCTACTCTGAGTTCATCTTATGCAGCTAATATTCATTTACAAAGGTGAAGGGCAGAGGGTTGCTGAAGAACTACTGAGAGATTTCAGCTGCTGTCTGGGCTTTCCATGTTTTTCTACAACTCCCTTTCTTCATGTGTTCAATACTTTTCCCCTGCATCATTTCATTTTACATCATTTGTAAATTAACTAGTTTTGATGTCTTTGCATATATGGATTTCTTTAGTTGTTACCAACCTACAGGGAAAATTTCAAGTCAACAGCACCTTTAGAAATGTGTATTCTGAAAAAAAAATAGTGACGTGTTCACTTCTTATTTTCCCCACACCTCATCTGTGTTGATTTGATTTCAGAATGCCTCTGCACTAAGTAACTAAGTGCTGATGTTCCTCGTGCTCATTCATAAACTGACATCAGCTGCTGATTTATTTGTGTCTTGTTGACATACAATCCTTCATATTTAATGAACAATCTACTGTGAATTTTCATTATAGCTACATTTGTAGTCTAGAGAGATGAATGGGGTTGTAAATTTCGAAGGCAGCCAAAGTTTCAGTGTCAAAGCTTGTGGTTTAGAAAAGGTAAACAGTACATAACTGAACATTTGTACATTTATCAATCATACAATAACGTCTTCTATGAATGATATCTTCTATGAATGACGTCTTCTAAGCCTAATATATAACATTTTAATGGATTTTACGGTGGAAGGCAATGAAAAGATTTCATTGATGTGTCATATCAGTCAGCCGGCAACATTAATAGCGCTTTTAAATGATTCAATAATGCCTTATTCACTATGATTGTGTATTTCCAGCTCTGGAAAATCAGTCAATAAAAGTGATACGTGTGTGTATTCGGCTGCTTTATTTGAAACCATCTAAGTGAATGATGAAAACATCAGCAAAACATCTATTTTCCTTACACGTCAAGCACGTGCTTTTTCTGTTTCAGATCTCAATGTCAGATCTTCATGCATGGAGTGTGTTTTGCTCACCTACGCCGAGTGTGTGTGAAGTGTGTCAAGTGAACGAGAGGACTTGTTTCAAGTGTTTCGAGTCAATGGAAGTTGAACCCCAAGTGACAAGTGGTGAAATCAATAGACAAAAGTCAATAAGCAACACTAAAGCTGCCGGTAGAAAGCAAAGGATGCCGATAATTGTTATTAATCCTGTGCGTTTCCCTGAGCGCCGGGTTTTAAGGCCAGATCTAGCCAAACAGGCGCAACGAACACAATGGTGCCCTGGAGCTACACACAATGGTAATCACATGCAAAACAAGGTTGTGATTATGTCGTAAATAATGAGGAAGGACGGTGAACAATGGCGTAAATAATATGTGGGTCATATGCATTGGACTAGCACTGTTGATCCTGGCACGGCTCATTTTCACACTCATCTAGGGGTGGGTTTCTTCCAAAATAACAACAATAATGTGACTCTTCAAACAGCATTATAGGTGAATTATCTGTGATTACTGCAGTCATGTTACATGCTTGCCTTTTTTTAAATAAGAGATGAACATACAGATATAACAATCACTTATAGGCTTATTTCACGCGGCCGCCATTTTAAAGTACCAAAGCGAGGCTGTGGTGGGAAGTATAGGACCAGCAATGTAAACATTGCAGCAACATGCTGTGGACTACAAACCTCCTGCTGTTGCTGAGATTTTAAAATGCAGATATGGTGTAAACATCACTTTAATATTATACAGTAAGTTTAATTTAAACAAATAAAAGCATATTAGGCATCAAACAACATCACAATCTCTGTAAGAGTAATATGCTCAAGTGTCTTCCTAGGCTTCAGTTCATGGCACCAGTTAAACACTGTGGGGACGCTTTCCTGCTTCAGCCTATGTAAACCGGTGAGCAATAAAACACTGCAGTCCTCTGTAGCACACCCTCGTGTTGTCTGTATAGTGTTGTCCCAATACTGAAGTTTTAAAAATGGCCATTTCCGCTAACATTGAAGCACCGCTGATCAGGGATGACTCGACTGATTTTCACGGCTGCTTCGCACTCCAATCTCTGTGTATCTGTGTTTGCACTCAGTTTACCGCTCTTCACCCAGTGCAAACACAGATACACTGAGACTGCAGCCGTGAAGATCAGTCGAGTCGTCAAGCAGACACAATGGCAATGTCTTAAATGTTAGCGGGAATTGGCGTTTTTTTCTTCTAATTCAGTTTCGTGACAAGTCTAATATAGTGAAAGAATCAGTTTATTAACTCGAGTTTGATAAATGGCATCTGAAACGTGTGTTTGGAAAAGAAAACGTTAGTTCACTAGTGCCATTTCCCTGAACTTAGCTGAAAATAGGCTCTGATATCCCTTTTTATTTACACCATTCATTCAGAACGGACCTTCGGGTCACTCTAAAGGCGGTAGACTAATACATTTGTGTCACTTTATCTTCGCTGATAAGATATTCAGTCAAGTACACAACGTTCCTATGCAACTCCCAACGATACTTCCAGGTTTCTTCTCACCGCAGCCTCGACTTCGCTTTTAAAAATGGCGGCCATGTGAAATCAGTCTATTCCATCACTGCTTCTACATATACATATTTACATATACATATCTATAACTATATATACACATTACCTGACAAAAGTCTTGTCGTTGACCCCAGTTGTAAAAGCAACACATAATAACCAGACTTCTAGTTGATCATTTGGAAAAGTGGCAGAAGGTCGATTTTTCCGATGAATCATCTGTTGAACTGCATCCTCAAATACTGCAGAAGACCTATTGGAACCTGTATGGACCCAAGATTCACAGTAATCAGTCAAATTTGGTAAAGGAAAAATCATCAAAACCATCAACAGTCTGAGGTATCAAGACATTTCGTCACCTTGGAGTTATAAGGTTCTATCTGCATTCTAAATGATTTTGAGATGTTGAGCTTCAAAGTTTTATGCATTCCATATAGCTAACAGTATGTGTAACAAGTTCTCTTTCATATATACATCAACAGGAGAGAGACCCTAAATGTACTCTAAATGTAAATGATCAAAGTTTTCTTAAGCCCTTTTCACACAGTGATAACGGTAAATATATGGAAAATTTCTGGAATGACTTTACCGGTAAATTTAAAAAAGTGTTGTTCACACAGGCAAGGACGTTACAGAATTTTTCTGGAAAAGAGCATTAACACATCCATTCCAAAATAACGGTAAATTCTGACATCATTAACCAGAAATCAGCTCTAAGTGAAGTTTATTCATAAACTAATTTCGAGAGGATCACATGCTTATGATTGACACGGCTGGCCCCGAGTCAAGCTAATGTACGAACCACCAATCAGACTACTCCTAAATAACCAAACACCTTACCTTTAGTCATCTTCATCTTGAAGAATCCCCCCTTCCACCCCTTCGCCTCCTCCTTTGTCTACAGGGCAGCACGGCGGCCCAGTGGCTAGCACTGCAGCCTCACAGCAAAATGCCTCCGGTACGGGCATTTACCCAAACGGTCAACATTTTCGTGTGGAGTTCATGTTCTCCTGTGCTTGCGTGGGTTTTCCCCGGGTCCTCCGGTTTCCTCCCACACTCCCAAAAACATGACACTTAAGTAAATTGACTAATCCAAATTAGCACCAAATTCAATTCAATTCTGTCAGCAACGCATCACCTTAGCAACCCTCACGCAGCAGGAGGGAGGGGAGTTCTCGAGATCTACCCGAGCTCAAACTCCCCTCTCGCCCTGCAACGGGAGGGAGCCCCGGGCTCGAGGCTCTCATGAGCTCGGGGCTCTCTCCCGGGACAGCATGCCAAACTAGCTTATTACCAATCATCAGCTAAGTGTGAACTCTTGAAACGGCTGCGCTTGTATTTGTAAACATTTGACTACATCTCAAACTCTGTGGATGAATCAGTATTGTGAACAACTCCGATGAAAACATACAGAGAAACACTTTCGCATGTCGAGATGTACATGATATGTGTGTGTGCTGGCGCTAATGGGCTGTTTTGCATGGGCACACGCAAAGCTTGAAGGTAAACAAACAACGGCTTATCATAAGCATCTTATCGATAATTAATTACACGGTTGGCATTAAGATGAACATATAAACGTGATCTGACTAATTTCTAGCAGCTAAATGTGTCTGGAAAAATATTCAAAGGCTTTTATTCTCATAAATCGCGCGGACGTGAAAGCGTCTGACTGTTTTGATTGGCTAAAGCAGACGTCTCACATCAGCATGTTCTAGACGTGCACACGCTCTTTCCGGCAATCTTTCTTTTGCACAGCGCAGCATTCCGGCAAATTACCGGTAATGTTAAAACTTCTCTTTCCGGAAAATAGCCAGAATGAATTTACCGGCATTTTCAAAAAGGGCCTGTTCACACATACAACCTTTCCGGAAAATTGCCGGTAATTTTCCGAAAAGGTGTGTATGTGTGAAAGAGGCTTTAGATTTGTAAATTGGAATAAAAAAAAAAAGTAAATGCAGATTAAGGTTGGGCCGAAAGACGATGCCATTGTCCATCGCCGATGGCCAATAGACAACACAATGCTGAAAGGGCATCACCGATCCTCTGACCCACTCCCATCCCAAACCTGCTTGCAAAGAATACGCACTTAGGCCCCGTTTACTCTAATATGTCTTAGTGTTAAAATGGCATTTTAGAATGAAATGATCCACATCGTGTTTTACCTAGCATTTCTGAACAGCCCTCCGTCCACTGAAAACGTACATCACGCGACCACACACACTGTCATGTGCTCGTCTGAGCTTCAGAGAGCAGTGCACGTTGGACAGTTCATCAAGGATGTACCGCTGGATTGTGTCTCACTATGGTTGTTAAACGTGGTCTTATGGTTGTTAAACGACTCTTCTGTCTTTTGAATATATCAGGTAATGTGTCACAGCATCAGCACACTGCTTCAATCTTTCGCTCTCACGCTTGTACTAATTTTAACGAAGACCTCAGATACTGTTGGATGGTTGCTGTTGGTTGTGCACAATTTTTTACCGACCAAGTTTTGTCGACACATTCTTTATTCACTGCAGCATGACTTTATATTCTATACTGTACGTTATTTCTGTTAAAAGACAAGACTTTTGTCTAAGCAAAGTTAGACCTCACTGTTACAATTAAATAGTTAGAAATCAAGGCATGATCATACTTTAGCTAAAATAAGTGTAATCTAGAGGCCTTTGCCTTTCATATGAGCCACTTCTGATCCCAAATGATCGACTAGAAGTCAAGTTATTATTTGTTGTTCCTAAAACCTGCATATGCAACAAGACTAGAGGTAGCAGATTGTGCAATCGATGCTGAAACGACTTATTGTGCAGCCCTAACCTATACCCACTGAAGGTTTGAGATGGAGAATCACTCTTTATTGCTTTTCTCTTTGTTGACACTGACGAACACACGACACGATCCATCCTCTTAAGTCAACCTGAATCTTAAAGCGAAGCAGAGGATGTCTGGTCTAAAACGAACAGGCTTCAGGACCCAAAGCATCCCAGAGCTCATCTGTGAGGTGAGGTTTTCCTCTTAAGCCACTGGCTCCTATTCACACTGACACCAAGGCCATTATAATTCCCTCTATCATCACAAAGACCTTCAGCAGAAATCTCTTGTAAAGATGACTGCTGGCACTGCCATTCACAAAGAGGATTTTAAAATGTCAGCCAATATCAGAGATTTGCCTCATTAAAGTGAGTCAGGGGGCTTTTCCTCAACGCTATTACAAGAGGGAGAAGTTCAGGGGAAAAGCAGTCTCCCTAATATTTCATATTGCTAAAAGCACCAGCACACCACTATATTTATTTTTTAGAAGTGTTTAAATTGAAATACTTAGGCCCAATCCCAATTCAACTTCTGTACTCGTTTCCCTCGGCCCTTGAAACAGAGTGTGAAGGGAAAGGGCTTCAAAACTTACCCCTAAGAAATGGGACAGCACCTGTATACGTCACGTGGTATGCCAGTTGCACTGCCCAGGAAAAAGCTGCCCTCCAAAGGGTTGTCAATACAGCGCACAACATCATCGGCTGCACTCTTCCCTCCTTAGAGGAGTTGTTTAAGGCCCGCTGCTACAGCACAGCATGCAGCATCCTGAAGGACTCGTCTCATCCAGCATACTACCTATTTCAAATGTTACCTTCGGGGAGACGATATAGAACCATAAAAGCCAAAACAAACAGACTAAAAAATAGTACATGTCCAAGGGCTGTTGCAATAATGAATGGACATTAAATTGAGGGTGTTTCTGGCCAAAATTATTTTAATCTTTTTAACTTGTTGCTAGGATATGCACTTGCCACTTTATACACTTGGACATTAAATTGTATGCCTTCCTGGCTCACATTTTATTAACTTTTAAATTTGAAAAGCTGCTTGGAAATGCACTTGCCACTTTATATGCACATCATACACACTTTTAAAACTGTATTGTAACTCTTCATTTGATTTGATCTTTTTATCTCTTTTTAATTATTGTTGTTGTTTTAGATAAATAGGACTGCACTGAAGGTAAGGGCAAATCTAAATTTCGTTGTATCTTGTACAATGACAATAAAGATTCTGATTCTGATCATACGTCATGGCGATCTCTTACTATATATGACCGCGACTGCTGTAGTTATTCCAGTTGTGTTATAATTTGGCATTTATCTTCAGCAAATCACTGAAGGCCAGAGTTGCCAAATTAGCAAGTTTGTTGCTAGATTTAGCAACTTTTTTTTTCAAAAAGCACCAACAAAGTTAGCAATTTTTAACATTCAGTTGGCTACTTTTTGCAATTTTTAAAAAGTGACTCAAAAGAGCAGCGGCTGCAGGCTTCACTTAGCACACACATATCACATTCAAGGTAAATTGCAAGCTCAGATTGTTTTTCATAACTGTTAATTTACGGATATTTGTTAACATGTATAATTGTTGGTAAAATAGGTATAAATTCATAATTTCCAATGGTACTATAATTGTTGTAACTTTTACAAACGTGTTAATTTCACAAGTTAAAAAGAGTAAATACACAAGATGTGCTTGTGTAAAATAATGGAACTGTTCATTGTCAGAGTTTTATTTAAAAATTAAAAAGTCTTATTAATAAAAGTGATAAGAAAAAAAAATCTTTTACAAACGGTCAACTATATTTTTCATACAAATTTAAATGGACATATTTGAGGTGGCCAGTCAATTTGAGAAAACAATTATTTTGTATACTACATGTTACGCAATGACGTCATCACACAAAGTAATCCTTAATAAGAACTTATTTATTGTGCATCTGGATGTAATGTTTTAATAATTGTGCATATGGATGTAATGTTTTAATATAATTAATACACAGTGCCTCAGAGAGTAGAGACATGATGGGCTTACACTTGTCATATACTATGGGATGACGTCACTGATATGCAAATTAATGCATATTAGCCACTTTTCGGGCAGGCTTTAGCTACTTTTTATTGGAAATAGTTGGCAACACTGCTGAAGGCATATATTATGTTATCATAATGATCTAATGTGGCAATAAGATCGTAACTGCGCATTTACACAGTGGCCAAATTCATCATGTAAACACAATAAAAACACCATTAACATTATAGCAGACACTGTAAAAAGCTTATTTCCAGCCATTTCTGAAAAGGTAATCGAGTGTCAGATGTGAAAGTATGTTGTGGGGCAACTATAAAGGAATAATTATAAGGGATTATAGGTAGTGAAATTTAGCTGCTTTTATTGTAGCTTTTTTTTTTTTTTTAAGTATGACAGTAAAACACGATTAGTAGCGGTTATGAATATATTAAAACTTGTTTGTTGTAAAAATTCATAATAATGACCAAAAAAATTACTAATTAGTGGATCTCCTGACTTCCGGGTGCAGCTATGCTGTCGTTGTGGCTGGTGCATTCTGGGAAATCTTTTTACCCCTTGGTTTCTGAGTGTGGTCCTGAAAAATCTTCATTTAAAGGGGTATATAGCCCTTCCTCTTAGCCCTACGCCTTTAAGCTAAACAGAATTGGGACACCCCAAACCGCTTCATGTAAATGAGCAAAACAAGGGGTAGGGCTGTGGTGTCCAAAGGGGTAGGGGCTAAAATCCCCTTTGAACTGAGATATTTAAGGGGATTACAATTCTGTAAGGGGAAGGTATAAGGGGCAGAATTGGGATTGGGCCTTAGACTATTTCAATTCCGGAACAAAAATCTAAAGATACATTTACCGCCGTATCATCCAAAATGTTAATTTCTTTCGTTTGTTTGTTTGATGCTATGCCAGCTACTATGGCTATTTTGATGATGACAAAATGTGTACTACATATTTAAATTCATTCGGTTTAGTCCCTTATTTATCAGCGGGGACCACAGCAGATATTCCAGCGTATGTTTTAGCAGTGGATGCCCTTCCAGCCACATCCCAGTACTGGGAAACACCGAGTACACTCACATTCACACAAGCACTCATATTATTTTGTTTACCCAATTCACCTACTGTATAGCGCATGTCTTTGGATTGTGGGGGAAACCGGAGCATCCGGAGGAAACCCACAACAACACGGGGAGAAGGTGCAAACTCCACATGGAAATGCCAACTGACCCAGCTGGGAGTAGAACCAGCAACCTTTTTGCTGTGGGGTGACAGTGCTAACCACTGAGCCACCATGGCTCTTAAACTGTATTTGGATTAGGAATGATAAGAAAACGCTTCAAAAGAATGAACTGAATTATATTAAATTCTCACAAAATTAAAGCTGACAATTTCTAATAACATTTTTAATGTGCTTTCAATCCCGTAGGCCAGTCTGAACACTCACCAGTAACCTACTCACACCTTCAGCTTCTCCATGATGGACGTCTAGTGTTCTACAGCCTCCGGAGCCTAGACTGCAGCTCTGCACAAGAAGGTTGGCCAGAGGAGAAATGGCCGTGCCCAACTGAGCCGTCTCTCTAGGTTTCTTCACTTTGTCAATTGGTGAAGTTTGTTCCTCACCACTGTCGCCACTGGCTTGCTTGAATTGAGACTTGTGAAGCTGAACATCAATGAATTTGCTCTTAAGTGTTTGGACTTGCAGTGAATTTAAACCACACTGAACTGAACCTCAACTCTGAAAACTAGACTGACACAGTTTCAATTTACTATAATCTTCTATGTTAAGCTGCTTTGACACAATCTACATTATAAACACGCTATAGAAATGAAGATGAATTGAATACAAACAGCATGTAGGAAAATTTTCTCCAAGAAAATAAAAACTTGTCATCCTGGATTGATCAATTCTACAGCGGGTAGGAGTATCTTGTTTTTTGTTTTTTTTTAGGTTTCGGGTAGGGTTAACTTCATGGAGTTTGTTTCTTGTATATAGATCTTTCTTAAGTCACAACGAATGTATGTTTTTAGAAAAAAAAAAAACATTTCAGTCATTTTCTCCATACAGTGGAATTCAGTGTACCCACAAGTTTGAACTTCCAAACTTTAATGCAGCTTTAAAAGGGATCTACGGCATACTATATAGACATCATAAAGCTAAATATAAAAAATGTAACTACACTTCATGACAATGTGGAGCATAAGACCAGTGATTGGTCAACTTGGTAGCGGTGGCAAGTGTGGGTGGGGGCAAGAATTGCGAGAGCAGAGTGAAGCTGTGGTCACACTGCACTTTCACCCTATTCACTTCCATTCATACACACAGGAATGCGTCAGGCCGGAAATGCAAGCTCGTGCAACACGTTTCACAGTTCTCTGCGTTATAACCATAGTTTTAGGAACTGCTTCACATCTGTGTTGCATGTAATCAATGCTCAACCATCTCTAGGGGTTACAGAGAATGATCTGAAAAAGAGAAAATATCCAGTGAGTGGTAGTTCTGTGGGCGCAAATGCCTTGTTGATGCCAGAGGTCAGAGAAAAGTCTGACTGGTTCCAGGTAATAGAAAGGCAACAGTGACTTAAATAACCACTTGTTACAACCGAGGTATGCAGAAGAGCATCTCTAAATGCACAACAATTCCAACTTTGAGAAGGATGGGCTACAGCAGCAGAAGACCACACCGGGTGCCACTCCTGTCAGCAAAGAACAGGAAACTGAGGCTACAATTCACACAGGCTCACCAAAATTGGACCATAGAAGATTGGAAAAATTTGCCTGGTCAGATGAGTCTCGATTTCTGCTGCGACATATAGATGGTTGGGTCAGAGTTTGGCATCAACACCATGAAAGCATGAATCCATCCTGCCTTGTATCAACGCACCATTGCCTTGGGGGGCACCATTTTCTTGGCACACTTTGGGCCTATTAGTACAAACTTATTATCGTGTCAATGCCACAGCCTACCTGAGTGTCATTGCTGAACATGTCCATCCATTTATGACCACAGTGTCTCCATCTTCTGATGGCTACTTCCAGCGGGATAACGCGCCATGTCATAAAGCGGGAATCATCTCAGACTGGTTTCTTGAACATGTCAATAAGTTCCCTGTACTCAAATGGCCTCCACAGTCACCAGAGCTCAATCCAATACAGCACCTTTGGGATGTGGTGAAACTGGAGATTCACATCATGGATGTGCAACCAACAAATATGCAGCAACTGTGTGATGCTATCATGTCAATACGGACCAAAATCTTTGAGGAATATTTCCAGTACCTTGCTGAATCTATGCCACGATAGATTAAGGCAGTTCAGAGGGGAAACGGGGGTCCAACTCGGTGCTAGTAAGGTGTACCTAATAAGGTGGCTGGTGAGTGTACGTTAGATTTGTCAGTACCAAAGCCAAAACTGGAACTAATCTAACAAGAAGAAAAAAAAATATATATATATATATATATATATATATATATATATATATATATATATATATATATATATATATATATATATATATATATATATGAGCGATTCCAGCGTTATGGATGTGACATTTGCAGTAAAAACTCAAAACATAATTTCACACAGAAAGTATATGTTGACATTATATCGAAACTTTTGTTTATATTTTCCAAAACAGCTCAACACAGAGTTCTGGGAGCAGAAAAATATCAATATGTAAACATGTTTTATATTTTAAATTAGGAAAATAAACATGCGTTATGGATGTGACAAAAAAGTTTGCAAATATACAGTCGACAACAGATTATTTAGAAATTCTGACAGTTAAACTGCACAACTTAAAAGACACAATTCTCATCAAACAGGTATGAGTCGGCTCACTATAGAATTAAAATGATTGATTTTATTTTATTTGACATTTTTGCATTTATGAAGAAAAAGTGTCGTTATGGATGTGACACATTTCCGTTATGGATGTGACAGCTGTGAAATTGCCACTTGTGTGATTTTGGCAAATTAAATATAATAGTTTGAAATACTGACAGATACATTTACGAGTATTTTTAAAGTACTGTAAAAAACTTGCTAACACAAAAAATGTAGAAACGGTTTCTCTATTTTGGAGAAAACTAAATTATTTTTTATGGCAAGGTTGACATTTGCATGGAATTGCCCATATATATATATATATATATATATATATATATATATATATATATATATATATATATTATTATCATTATTATTATTATTATTATTATTATTATTTATTTATTTTTTATTTTTTTTGCAAAAACTAATTTGAATATAAATGTATTATCTTTCTATAACTAAAGATGTACGCTGATCGTTTCAGACCATTTAATAAAACAGATTTGTTTAATTGCACCAAAAATTGTCTATATTTAGTAAGAAATCTATAAAATAATTAATTTGTGAAAGAGGGTGTACTCAATTATGCTAAGCACTCTATATATTTCTCTAAACTGAAATCTGCAAAATATCAACAACAAAAAGTGGTGAGTTTACTTGAACTACCATTAATCGATCTGTTAAGATGATTCTGAATCAGATAGTTAAGATGACAAATTTCATGTCATGATTCAGAATGAATAACACAAACACTCAGACCTGAAGGGCATTTTATCGCACCGGGTCATCAATCATAATCATAATCAGAGTGTATTACCTCACCTCTGCCTGATGGACGTCTGATTAAATGTGCTCTGGCTGTGGTGAATAATTGAATTCCGGAATGTGTGTGTGTGTGTGTGTGATGAGCTCACACTAATGCTGAAACCCAGCTCATCTCCTCTTTCAGCGCTCCTGCTATATTTTACTCAACTCTGGAAAATACCATCAGCTGGAGTTAAACAGAAAGGGGAAAAAACACCAATTAATGAGGAAAGTAACTCGTTATGACACCTACGATGGCTTTTGATCAAAGTCTAGCAGTAAAACGGATGTTTATGAGGCTGGGATTGTGGAGAAGTGAGGAAACTCAGTCGCTGCTGTTCTCAGATTAGCCCTGCAGGTGGCACTGTTTTCAAAACGCACAGTCAAAATGATGAACAGCTGCACTGAGAGTCATTACAAGATGTTCCTCGTGTTATTCTGCAGCAGATTGCGAATAAATGCAGAAAGTGTATTAAAAATAAATAATATTATATTAAAACAAGAAAAAATACACATAATGCTGTTTGAAAGTCCCCAAAAATGTAATTTCCAGGTAACACGGTAAAGATTTAAGAATGTGTGTGTGTATATATGCATGTATGTATGTATGTATGTATGTATGTATGAATGTATGTATATATGTAGCTAAAGTCAGAATTATTAACCCCCCTTTGAATTTTATTTCTTTTTAAAATATTTTCCAAATGATGTTTAATAGAGCAAGGAAATTTCACTGTATGTCTGATAATATTTTTTCTTTCAGAGAAAGTTTTATTTGTTCTTTTTTTTTTAGGCTAGAATAAAAAGTTTTTAATTTTTTAAAAAACATTTTAGGGTTAAAATTATTAGCCCTTTTAAGCTGTATATTTTTTTCTAATAGTCTACAGAACAAATTAATGCCTAATTCCTCTTACTTGCCTAGTTAACCTAATTAACCTAGTGAAGCCTTTAAATGTCACTTTAAGCTGCATAGAAGTGTCTTGAAAAATATCTAGTCAAATATTATTTACTGTCATCATGGCAAAGATAAAATAAATCAGTTATTAGAAATGAGTTTTTTAAACTATTATGTTTAGAAATGTGTTAAAGAAATCTCTCCGTTATACAGAAATTGGGTAAAAAAAAATAACAACAGGGGGGCGAATAATTCTGACTTCAACTATATATATATATATATATATATATATATATATATATATATATATATATATATATATATATATATATATATATATATATATATGTGTGTGTGTGTGTGTGTGTATTTTTTCCCCAAGATTGTTTAATGTCTTCTAAAAAAATTTAATTGTATTCTTTTTTCAATTATAAATGAAAATATTCCCCTAATATTATTCCATTATCTTTATCAACCCCAAACTTATTTATTATTGTTAATAAGTTAGATTCGTCTGTAATAGAATGCTGAAAAACCATGTCAGAACAGCATCAAATAAAATAATGCCTAAAATTTTGTTCAACTAAATATTAAATAGGCGTGACACGGCTCGGCGATTAGCACTGTCACCTCACAGCAAGAAGGTCACTGGTTCGAGTTCCGGCTGGGCCAGTTGGCATTTCTGTGTGGAGTTTGTATGTTCTCCCCGTGTTGGTGTGGGTTTCCCCCACAGTCCAAATACATGTGCTGTAGGTGAATAGAATAAACTAAATTGGCTGTAGTGTATGTGTGTGAATGAGTTTGTTTGGATGTTTCCTAGTACTGGGTTGCAGCTGGAAGGGCATCCACCGTGTAAAACATATGCTGGATAAGTTGGTGGTTCATTCTGCTGTGGTTCACCCTGATTAATAAAAGGACTATGCCAAAGAAAAATGAATGTATGAATGAATATATTAACAATGAACATATTGCCCTAAATGCAGCCTTACCCTGGTCATGCAAGTATAGTCCTGCCAGGCCTGGATAAAAAGGGGTTTATTAGTAATGCAACAAAGTATTTTGCTATCTGTCAAGTACACAAAAGTTAATTTAACAGTTTATAATAAATTTAGAAACGTACACAGACAGGTTTCCGCTGTGGACGCCATCTTGTGGTCAAATGCGGAAATCACTGGTGGCCATAGTGCGTGTTTAGAAACAGCTTGAGAAATTATAAGCCACTAAACATTTTTAAAAATCAGCGCAGCCATACCACATAGTAGTTCTGTGTTGGTCAACGTTGTTTATTTAGGATTATATGACACCCAGTGAAAACTCTTCAGCAGGAGAGACAAACTGAGCTTCTGTAGCGCCACGTGTTTCTAGCACACCTGCCTGTAA